GAGCTACCAAGCAAGTTTACCATGTCAGAAAAGCCATACATATGGAGCTGCTTATGTGATTCCAACATCAAAATGTATTAGTCTACAAATCATACACTATGGTAAAAATAAACCTTTATTAATCAATAATTTGCACCTGTAATCGTATCTTCTGTGAAACAGAATCAAAGTTGTTGGTGGTTTCCACTAATGTTCATTTCATGTGGAAATTTAATTGCATGTGGAGGTAGTTTTTTGGAGTTTTGCACAAATGTAGGTAGGTGCGCATTAAAATCATTATAAGTGGCCTTATTAAAGGCAGAGTAAGTGATTTTTCAAAAACACTTTAGAAAACTGATTCGGGCCGAATCGCAAAACAAACTTGTAGCCAATCAGCAATAAGGGGCGTGTCTACTCGTGATGTGGAGGAGAGAGCGTTCAGTGCACGGGACGGACATTAGCCGAGCCGAGCGACAGAAAGATAGAGATGGTGGATAAAAAACAAAAGAGGAAAACGTCTGTGGAACGATAAGGCGAGAAGTAGGACCCGTGTAAATATCGGATCAGCTTTCCAGCGCTGGAGAGAACTCAAGGAGCGGAGGCCTGCGATCGGACGCCGAGGTTGCTTTGTTTCTTCTCAATAGGATGAGTAACACCGTGTCTACAACAGCTAAAGTCTGCCTACACTGGACGCGACCAAACGACCGTTGAAAACCATTTGAAATGTGTGTCAGCACGTCATAAATAGAACCCGGCAGCAGTTTTCTGTCGGGGATTTGTTGCGCCGCGCCGCTCACGTCCGTAGACACGGTGTAACATTGGTTTTGCTTTGTTTCACAGAACTAATCGTTGCCTGGGTTGTGTACGTGTGTGTGGGGCGGAGCTATCAAAATAGGGGCAAGACCCTTTTGGGGTAGGGGCGTGTTTGTTTTGGTGATTTCAAATATCAACATTGGCTACCAGAAATCACTTACCCCACCTTTAATAGGTTAATAAGTGCAAATTTGTGAAGGATTAAATCGTATTGCTCTCTATGTAAGCTAGTTAAATCTGATGACAAGGAATGCCACTGTAAACAAGCAGAAGACACACTCACACCACAAAAGACTAGTGACATCTACATTACACACATGCCAAATGACAGGCTGCACGCAAACACAGCACTCCCTTTAACACCCGCCAATAATTCAGTCTCTGGTTAGTAAATACAGGCTGATGCTCTTAAAGATCTCTGGAGCCTGTGAGCAGAGGGAGGACAGACAGAGAGCACTCTTTTATTCTTCTCCTGTTGGCACCGGTTCCAGCCGATCATCCGTTTATTTACCTCCGACACATGCTGAGCCGGTCTTTCTCACCATAGAGCAGACATTGATCCACTGAGCCAGGCGCGACACACAGATGCCAGTGGACACAAAGACTTCTGACGGAGAGAAGGGGTGGGCAGGACGGATGGCATAATTTCTGGCCTCTAAATGATACATTTGCACAGGGAATACACTCTTAAAAATAAAGGTGCTTCACGATGCCATAGAAGAACCTTTTTGTCTAAATGGTTCCATAAAGAACCTTTAACATCTGAAGAACCTTTCTGTTTCCCAAAAGGTTCTTTGTGGCGAAAGAAGGTTCTTCAGATTACAAAAAGGTAAGAAAGAGATGGTTCTTTAAAGAACCTTTGACTGAATGGTTCTTTGTGGAACCAAAAATGGTTCTTCGATGGCATCGCTTGAAGAACCTTTTGAAGCACCTTTATTTTTAAGAGTGTAGGATTGATTCTGTACATGTGGGTCAAAAATGGCTTGTGTAATGCCAGAAGAAGAGGTAAGGTGTATGAGCCATCTAAATACTGGAAGACAAAACCTTTGACTAACAGCAAAATCAAGGGTCTGAATAGAAAAAAAAGAAAAAAAAAAGAAATCTATATAATAAGATAGACCGCCACACAATACAAGACACTCAACACAAACAAATCAGTGTCTCTATACATCTATAAACGGAAACCACGTTCATCTTATCAACATCCACTGAGAAATTGTGCCTAAACGTTATTCTTTGATACGCAAAACAAAATAAGAGCCATTCTGACAGCTCTCAAGTGCTCTGGGTTCACACTGCATTGAGAATCATTTGCATTTGCATCACACACCAACACATCTATGTGTAGATGACATGCAGCAGGAATGTCCTGCATCTCAGTACTGCTGCTGTATGAGCAGCCTACTAGGTTTCGCTTGTAATAGCAGGGCTGATGTTGCATGCTACTCATGCTTTCATGACTTAAAGAGGAACGTGATGTTTATATTGCGAAAGAACTGACAGATTGGTTGTTTTGAAAAGGAATGATTCCTTGAGCTTACTTTTTGTTTGTTTTTTTGTAAGACAACAGAAGTTAATGAATTTAAAACTTAGTAATTCAATCGTAACCAAGAAATCGGGCTTTACCTTAATAACCATAAGGTTCAGAGTCAAAAGTTCAATTGTGCAAATTGGTCTAACTTAAAAAGGTCATCCAAACTAAAAATGTCAAATATCACATTTAAAAATAAATAAATAAAAGCCTGATGGGTAACAATCAAGCACAATAAACCCACTCTGACATGCATCCAGAAGAACAGATTTTAACTGAAATGTGAAACACTTTATCAGGCTGGGGCAAGTTGTCACATGTTTTAAATGTAAATGCATATACTGTAAAACATGGCTTTTTTTTAGTTTTTTTACTTGGGACAGCAGATTACATTTCAGTACAGCTATTGTTCTCAAATTAGCTGTCGATAAACAGCCGCCTGTTGACAACTTACCCCATACAGAGTGTGACAACATGCCCCGCTATAGACAACACAGTGCTACACAGCCTTCAGTGATCTTTCCTCCTGTAAAATGTTCATGTTTTGTGTGCAGACTTCAGTGTTCGTGTGAACGCAGAAAGTGACTCGAGACATATATCAATGGAGTAAACAGTGTGACAACTAGCCCCGGTCTCCCCTACAGATAAAGAAGCCTCTGCTCCGTGGCTTTCTCCTACCTGAGCAGACTGGAGAGCGGGTGGGAAGAGCTGTGCCCGCCGCTCCCGACATTCCCGGAGGACCCGGAACCACCCGCAGCGGCCGAGCCGGACGACTGTCTCTTCGCGGACAACAGCTTCTCAACGGCGGCCAGATGCCCGGTGCGCGCCGCCTCCAGCAGCTCCTGCTCCTTCCCCATCTCACCGCGAGCAGGAGGAGCGGAGACACGGCCACACCGACCCACTGCACGCCTCTCCGACGCCGCGCGACGCGCTCTCTTCCCGGCGCACCAGCGGCGGCTGTGTCAGGGTTCGTCCCGCTCCAAGCGCAGTCGCTCCGGGGAGCTTTCTCTCGCTGCGCCGCGCGAGCTTCCTCTGGCACGGCTCGGCGCGTCACTTCCTCCTCCTCGGGTGTGCTCCTCGGTGAATTATGCTCATGGTTTGATTACACTGATGCATTTAGGGGACTGAAATCGATGGCGCAGCCCTCGTCTGATCACCAAACCAGCTGCAGGGGAAAGAGTCTCTCATCAAGTGAAGCATCGTGAACAGTGGCAGCACAGACTTATTTCTTTGCAATTCCACAATTAAGTCCAGGCAAAAGAACAGTTTCTTTTACACAGTAAACAGTTAATGTTCTCCCATTGTGCAATTAAAGTACAGTATGTGCAATAACCTTATAATTATGTATCACCCTAAACTTATTTTATTTTATTCTATTCCTATTCCATCCACACCACACCTGTACATACAATTTATTCCTTTTTTTTATGTGGTTTATATATAT